AGTAGGTGTCCCTCAGTGTGAACTGACAGTAGCTAAAGGCATATTTAAAAATGTGGACTTATGTTGTGAGTCTTATTTAAACCTGCAGTTAATCAGTGTTATGTGCATGAGAATTCCACGATTGTTTTAATTTTTGTTTTATGAGACAGCTTCCAGACCTGCAGCTAGTGCTTATGCACAGCTCTTGCTGATCACTGACAGATGCCAGCAGCCCATTGCAGACATGATGAACGCACGCCTGCTCTGGTTCTTCTGGTGCACTACGTTTTCTGTGGGTTTGGGAGAGCCACGGATAATGAGTTATGCTTTAAGTATTCATGAATGCAGCTAAGGATGTGGGCCTAATGCATATGGGAAGGTTTTTCGTTCAACTGTTTTCACATTACTTAGGATTTCAAGTCAGATACAACTGTAATAACCTACCCTGATAGAGCAGCACCCATGTTAGAGTTTGCCAGTATTGCTGTGCCATTAAAATATATTCTTAAAAAATCATGCCTGTGCACAAAAACTTTCAAGTGCAACTGCAGTCTGTTTCAGAAACTTTGGACTTTTACTTAAAAGGGCAATAAAATACTTGGAACAATATTCCTCTAGAACAACTTTGCACACCAATTGCTTCTGTTTCTGTTTAGGTCAGAGGGATTTTCCCAGGCTTGTGATGCCATTTTGCATAGCTTTCCTCACAAATGAAGTTCAACCCACTCTCAGAAGAGCAAGTCTTGCTGATTTTAATTGATTTATTAAGGTGCTCCCATCACACCAGATGTGGATGCTATAAATCCTTTTCGTTTGTTGTACTTCATGGGATTTTGTATTCTGCGTTCACATTCTGTGCGCTGTCTCACAGTAATCCCTGCTACATTTCAGTTCCTATAGAAATGAATGCAGGTTGCTGTAGGATCTTAGCTTGAAATGGAGATGTGTTGGGTGGCTTTTTCCCTTTTTTTCCATCAGCTTCCATCCTACTTTAGTTGGTAATTGAAAGTGCAGCATTAGCTCAGGGCAGCCTTCTCAGAGCACTGAACTGAACCCGACTATCAAAATTTCTTCCAATAGAATTACAGCAATTACTTGTCTCAGATTCAAAATGTATTTTATATTTTGCAGAAATGCACCTGGATGGTTGAAGTGGGTGTGCAGATTGCCCCATGCCCTCTGGCTCCTATCACTCAGCAGCCCTGCTTTGTAGTAGGAACAAAGTGCTGAGGAAGCTCAGCCACTTGTAGTGGCTGAGTGCTCTGGGAGCTTAAGGCTGCTGCTTATTGAGGCTTGCCAATGAACTGCTAATTTCTCCCAGCATACGTGGCCCATGCCTCACGTTTGGCATATTTGTAAGATTTTATCACCTTGCTTATAAAGAGAATTTAAAAAAAATCATCTTGTCAATTTAAACTCAGTTGGATTGGATCACAAGAATGAGAGTTTTTAAACAGACTACGTTGTAAACCCATTATATTCATTAATCTTTGTCATTTTTTCAGAAAAGGTGGAGGGCAAAACCTTTGTTACACTTCAGTCAGTATGGCTGCTCAAGCTGATGTCCTGCAAGCATCCATTTCCTCATTACTTCCCTGCAAACATGGGTTTTTTTTCTCTAATAACTTCTTGAATAAGCCAGATTCAGAATCCAGCCTTTTGGATAGCACAGGAGACCTTCATAACAGCAGATGTGGCAACAAGAGAAAAGAAATGTGAACAAATAAGTATTTGAGCAGATTTATAATAGCCTTGGATCGCTTCTTTATCTTGATCTTGGCTGTAAGGAAATGTTCAGATGTTGCTTAACTGTAGTTTGAGCAGAAGTTTGGGAAGTATGGAGACTCTGTAGCGTGCTGCTGCGTGGCTTACTGTTCCAAGTGCTGCCTGATGCAGATGACTGCTCTCATCACAATCTCAGTGCAGAAACTTACAGCTCAATAAGAGATTAAGAGATTTCTTGTACATTAACAACTGTATAGCTCTAGGCCATCAAAGAATGCAGTGACAGCTGAGCTGTGAGTCTGAGTTTTACAAATAAATAAGCAGATAATTTGTAATACAACTAGTTCTGCTGATTTGATTGTGGCTATTCATCTTAAAATCACGTACATAAAAGCATGCAGGGTTATTTTCTCTTACCAGTATGGCATAGAGAGTTAGCATACATTTAGATATAGAGTCATCTAACCAGATTTCTGGTTCTTGTTCTAGGATGCAGGTAATGACTCTGCAGAAGAATCCTTCTAGGATGCTTTTATTTTTTTCCCAGCTTTTCCCAACCTTAGTTTACCAGAGATGGACAGAAACGATGGCATTCGCGTGTTTTGTTTTAAATACACTGCTGTTAGTGCTGGGTGGAACAGGGATGGACACAGCTGAACATGGAGCTCTTCCATGTGCCATTTCTTCTCCATTCATAGATTTGTGAATGTGCTTTTTCCACTTTTGGGTCTCAGCTGTGTTGGCTGGAGGATTTTGTGTCATGCTTGTTTCCTGGGTCTCATGGTCAGCACTTTCACATGTAGTGAAGGCCCTACCCTAGGCTGCTGTGTAGGTTTGTGTAACCTCTGTTATACCTTATGCTTATACAGATGCTTGTCCACTTGGAGGTTATATCTATTGCTAACTGGTCTCTTACAGCTAAGGACAGGGAAAAAAAATGAAAGGTATGAATATTCTTGTGATAGGAGATATGTAGTAGGCTTACAGTGTGACTTTTGCAGCCGTTGATCTAAGGAAGGGTCTAGATAGATGCTCTCTGAGCTTTCTCCATCTTACTATAATTTGAGCACAAACGTACATTTGTAGAGTGATGATCACAAATACTGCTGTGAATGCAATATTTGAATTGAATGTAATAATTAAGGGGTTTTTAGTTTTACACAAACTTTAGTTTTGTGTAAAAAGCACTTTTTACATCAGGTTGTTGAGAGGCTTGAAGTTGTTGACCGTGGATTCTGAAGAAGGGTGTCCTTACTGATAATGGAACTGCACTGGAAGCACAAATACAATTTGTGACACAGCTGTTCTGTGGGTGAAGTCCTGTCCGTGTGTGGGAGCACTTGTGCTGTCCTCCACTACCTGGTCAGTAGTTTGCAGCTGGAATGTTGACATCCTCTGGTAGTTGTTTCTTTTTTGCAAAGTGTGTGGTTGAAAAAGCAGTGAAACGTTCTGCAAGGCCAGCTTTCCTTTCAAGTATTCTCTGTGTTTTGTAGTCTTAGCAAACCAGTGCTGATCAGGAGAGATGTGTAAAGATGATTTTGTTGATAAGTGCCAAATAATTTCATTAAAGAGATAGAGCAGCTCTCTAAAATCAGTGTTGATTTTTAAGGGACTCTGGTATGAGGACAGTGCAGAAGTTCCTCACAAGTGTTAATACTTTACCCGCTGTTCTCACTGATAATATATAATCCTATAAGAATTGAAGGAGTGTAAAACATTTGTGTGGTATAAAGTCATTAGTTGCTGTCACGACACAAGTAGTGATGTATAGAGTTTAGTGGTTGTCTATCATTCCTATTGTTTCAGGTCTTACCACCTTCCTGACATTGCTTCTCCTCTTTCAGGCTTGCAGTGAAACTGTAATCCTGTTCTGCAGAGTAATGGTGTTTGGTTATATTGCTTGACTCAAAGTCCAGTGTTCAGACTTCCCAGAAGCACCAGATAAAAGGAAGTGCACCAAGAGTGGAAAAGAGGCTGTTAGGAGGATGATAGGATGAGATCACAACTGGATCAGGTATTTCCCTGCATAAAATGTCAAAGATAAAAACGGGCTTAAAATGAGATGCTGTTCATCTGTTTTAAGTCAGTTACTTGTCAGGAAGCTTAGACACCACAGTTGGGCTCTATGTGTAGACCTGCAGTGCTGCTGTTACCTACGTGGAGGCTATAAATGGCAGCCTGCAGGTTGACCCTCTTTGACTTTTTCCTCTCAGAGTATGAAAGAGTTCTTTGGTAACTCATTTATGTAACATCAGTACATTAATAACTGATCTGCCTGCCTGCCTGTTGTGGTTTCCCTGTAAAAATACAGTCTTAAAAACTTTAAATGGCTTTAGAAGCAGTGCAGCAACTGAGGGAATTCTGCAGCATCAGAATAGATGAAGACGTGTAAACGTTAATAACAAGTTGAGAATCTGATAAACACGTCTGAACCTTACCCAGCTTCTTGCAATTCCAGTTCTGTCTGCATTGGTGAATCAGAAGGGTGAGACTAACCACACAAAAGGGATCTGAAATGCATGTTACTGAAATAATCTTGCCTTCGTCTGGCTTTAAGTGAATCTAAAATGAGATATTTTCCCTTGCTGGCTGAGTTGGTACAAATAAGTTACTTCATGACCTTCTGAAATGCCTGGTGCATAACTACATTTGGAGCTAGGTTTTGTTGGTATTTTGTCAAGTCCCTCTCAGTGGGTGTCCAGGTGATGTAAAACCTGGAAGATACCTTTAGACATACTTTATCTGTCCTACAGCACGTCAAACGCTGCCCAGAAGTGACTGGGAACAGGGGGCAGGGAATGATTCCTTAAGGCTGTTTCATTTTACATGCTTCCCTCCTTCTAAGGTGGAAATAGAATTTCCTCCAAATACATCATCCTGCATAAATGATGAAACACTTTGTAATGCCAAACTCCTCAAACTTTGTTTGCTGCAAACATTGCTGCCTCTTATTACACATAGTAATAAGTTTAGTTTGAAAACTTAGGTTTTTATCCTTTACTTTTTTTTTTTTATGGCCTTTTTAATGGATTTTCCAGAAACCATTTTCTGCTGCTTTAAAAATGCTGTCCTTTTGGTTACTGAAACCTCAAAGAAGCTGAGCCCTAGAGAATGGTGCAAGAAGCACTGTGTGGGGTAAAGCAGTAAAATGAAAATTGGACTTTGATACATGGCAGAAATATAAGCTTTAATAGATGATATTTGATTGTGAATTCCTATCACGGAATGATATACTAGAATATTGTTTTATAATGATTTCTAGCACATGTATTGCTGATGTATCACTAAATCTTGCAATTAAATCTTGTCTATAATTAATATATAATAGTGTCACTGGTAGCCCCAAAATTAAATTCTGCAGTTGAAGAGCACAGTGAACTATGTAAAACAGATGATCTTCACCTTGTGAATCATTTTTAAAGCACTTTCTTATTACCAATTAGCACGTGAATGAATTTTAGATTCTCCCATTTGTTATCATCAGTAGAAGTGAGATTTCTTTAATCTGTCAATGTTTAAACTGACTATACAAATGCTGAAACAAAGCACCTTATACTTGCTGCTTAAATTTGCTTGTAATTGCACCTTTGGTTATCTGCAGATTTTTCTTTAGTATTCTTATGTGATACCATTGTTCCCTGTGGGTCTGAGTGAATGATTAACCAACCTACAACATAATTTACTTATAGTTTCTACTTCAATACAATATTGTACTGTGAGTTCAGTGCTTCAGAAATAAATACTACTTCCATTTGTCTGCTTGGGTTGTGGATCACTTATTTATCAATCCCCTGTAAATTTGAGAGCTTCCTCAAGAACTTGAAAATTATTGAAGTAGTTTGGAAGTCTGAGCAGGTTTTCCCTTACTGCATTAGGCACGCTTTAGCAAATTGAACTACTTTAATGTCAGTGTGACTTTGGCTCCAACACAGATTCTATTCTAGTTCAACCCATCCTTTGCCCTTTGGCATGTACTTACGTAACCTTGTAAGAGTAGATGCATCTGCTTAGCACAGGGGGTCTGGTCCAACTGTTCAAATTGAGCATGTTTGTGTTTCTTTTGCATTAAAGCTCTTATTGCTGTGACTGTAATTCAGTAGTTTTTAATGTGCACATACATACCTTAGAGGAACAGTAACAAGGAAATAACAAAACACTGCCTTTCTCATAGCTGTGCTAGTATACATCTTGCAATCGTTTCCGTAAACAAAGTTTATGGTTCTGTAGGAGGTATAGCTTTAACTAAAACAATGTATTCCTCGTTAACCATGCAAAAAACCATAAACTAACACAATGTTTAACAAGAAAATACACTTAAAAAAAAAAAAAAAAAAAACAACAAAAACCACAGCAGTTTGAACTTGACAGTAGGTCACCTCAATGTAACTGATAATAAAAGGCTTCAGCCCATTAAAGGCTGATGCGTTTTATACTATAAAGTCTGAGATCATTCAATTTTAAAACAATTGTAAAATTGTAGTAATAAACACCAGCTTTAACCAAGAACTTATTTTATGTAAATAGTGGCCTTCTCTTAAATACTCTGAAATGGAAATAAAGCCCAGGGTAGAAGTGAGGCACATTCTGGTGCACTATTCCTTACTGTACTTAATGTTGGATTTTCTTCCTGTGGATTGTAGCTCTGAAGATGCTTCCTTGTATTATCTGAAAGGACATGGTCACAGAGCATCAAAGTACACACAGCCCTAGCAGTCTTTTCAGTCAGCAGCTCGTTAACAGATCACAATTACTGTGCCTGGCTTTTCAGCTGGCTCTGTGTTTTCATTGTTAAATGGCATAAAGCAGAATTTCCAGCTGACAAATGGATCTGTAGACCACATCTCCTCTGTCAATTCAACGTCGTGACATCGACACCAGTATGCTACTGCAATAAGAAAGCTGTTGATGAAGTACAGCCAAGGGACGTTCATCTCCATGTAGGCTGGAATCCAAGCACCAAGAAACAAGATGATAAACTGGAGAAGAACAAAAGGTGCCCAAGTGCCAAGGAAGCAGATGAGGAGTCTGGTCAGAAGCTGCCGCTTGAAACAAGTGCTGTTGTTGTTGGGCACATAGGAGAACATCAGGACGGGCTGGCTGGCAAAGGAGGCCACCCTCACAGACAGCAGCATGGTGATCATTTCCTTCCAGCAAACCACGAGAGCCATGCCTATGAGAACCAGCATGGCAACTGAGACCGAGTAGCTCTGCATGCTGATGTAGAGGGGACACTGATAAGGAGAGAAATGGTTCCGAACTTCTAGTTCTTCATAGATGGCAGGAACTTGCAGAACACAAAAAAAGCCTGAGATCCATATGAAAACCACAACAAAGATGTAAAATAGTCTTCGACCTCTTCGGGGGAATTGAGAGGTTTGGGCTATAGTCATGTAGTAATCCAGACCTGCCACGAGATACACCGGGTAATGCAAAGTACCGTAAGTGAGAGAAATGATCTGAGTAAACAGGCAGATGTGGTACTGGGTAAATCTGACACCCCAGAGTGCAAAATCCTCCAAAGAGAGGATGACAGCTATGTTCAGCAGCAGTATGAAATCAAGAAGTGCCAAAGAGACACAAAAATATCCCATAAAACTAACTTTCACTTTCTTGTGCTTAACTTGCAGCATGAAGAAATCCAGGCACACTTTTCCAAACATGACCAGAAGCAGCATGAGGCTGATCTCCAGGGGCTGGTTGAGCTGGGGCTGGTGGTACCGACTGGAGCAGTTCTCACAGAGTAGAGCAGCCATCCTCCAACGGTAAGAAGCAGCACAGTATCACGGGGCACAGCGCTTCACATCTGGAAAGAAAAAAATGTTTGTAGACATTCATTTCTGGGGCAGCTCTTCCAATGAGTTGTTCCATATCGCAGCAACTACCAAAGCTACACCTGAATTCTCCAGCTTCCTGAAGTAAGGGTAAAAAGCTTCAAATTGTCAAGAAGTGCCTAATATTCCTCAAATTATATTCTTTTGGAAGTTAAAAGATCAGTGCAAACTTAAGTTATTTTTCTAGCTACTTTCCTAATGACAGGTTTTGCAATAAGGTTGATGGTGCTTCTTCCCCATAGGAAGCATGGCCGTCTTTGTGCCGGGCTGGGCAGAGGATGGCTATTTCAGAGCTCCTTCATAACCACACAGGATAGAAATTGTGCAACACGCGGGATGTGTTACATTATGGTCCTCCAGTTTGTTACGCTCATAGAATCCACATAGAACTGAGACTGTGGGAATATCCCAAAAGCAGAAAGGCAGCAAACCAACACATCGGTTTTTCGGTCGCTAAAATCTAACTGTGCAGATGCCATGTAACCAAGCTGTGTCTGTTGGTTGGGGCTTTCTGTGCAGCAGCGTGGTGCTACAGCACTGCACACCTCCCGTTGCTGCTCTTCCCCTGGACGTTGGCAGAAGTTTCCTTATAAAAGCTCTTTCCATTTGTTGATTCTCCAGGCGAATGCAAGGCGGCAGGGATGGCAGGACAGTCGCAGGCAGGATGGCAGCATATTAGCAACAACTAGGCGTGCCTTCTTCTCTCTTTGCTGAAGAAACAGGATGGTGAGGCCAGTGTTTCCACAGCTCTTACAGCCGCAGACGAAAGCAAAGCACTCTTTTCGCTCTGCTCCTCTGTGGCTTTGCTCGTTTTCTCCCTTCCCCCTTATCTGCAGTAAGGCGCTCAACACTTCTGCCTTCTCGCTCGGGTAAAAGTGGATGCGAGGAAAGTCTGAGGTCTGTCAGAAACAGCGAGTACCGCTGCTCGGCGCTCCGCGGCGTCCCGCACAGCGATCACACGGCAGAGCCCCCCGAGAGCCGCCCGCCCTCCTCCCGCAGGCAGGCAGGCAGGCAGGCAGCGGGCCCAGCGCTCAGCCGCTCGAGCCGCCGTCCCGCGCTCCGCTAACGCACCTGTCGGTAACGCACGTGTCCTAACGCTCCTCGGCGCCCCCCGCCCGCGCTCCTACCGGACTCCCGCTCCCGCAGCCTCCCGCCGGCGCTCCCCGGGCCGAGGCGGCGGCTGTGAGAGGCCAGCCCGCTCCCCGCCCGCCGAGGACCCACCTGCCGCGGCGGGCCCTCCGCGCTGCCTCTCGGCGGGGACTTTCCCCGGCGCTCTCAGCCGGCGGCCATGCCCGCCCCTTCGCTGAGGCGTGTCGGGGTGCGGCCCCGCCGCCCGGCGGAGGAATCCCCGCCCGACCCCGTCTGCCCGCTGGGGATTCCCTCCCCGGAACGCAGCGCGCGGGAAGGGATGTTTCCCTGCAAGCGTCGTCTTAGCGAAAAGGTTCTTTGCAGGGGGTTCTCTCCGCTCTGTCCTCCCCTGAGGCTTTCAGCAATTGAGAAAACTTTGGAAGAGATTAAGAGAGGGCTTACTGTTTGTCTAAAGATAATGATGTAGATGAGCCTGAAGGTAGAGCGTGAAGCCTTCTAAATGGGTTGGCGTTTTAGCCTGGACATCCTGTAGCAATCTACTTAATACAATTGAAAAAAGAAAAAAAAAAAAAAAAGCAATAACAGCTTTTCTCCTCTTCCAGATCAGCCTACTAATTTGGTTTTCCATTTGTTGCTTTAATTCCCATCATCCAGCAGCAAACGTAGGAGCAGAGCCTGTCCCGCTGTGGCTGTGCTGTTCCCTCAGCTGCCCGCTACTGCGGCGTTCAGCTGTAACTCCAGGCTGTCTCTTCTTTCTTTTTTTTTTTTTCCTATGATGTGTTTGGTAACTCGGAGACAAATCTAATGAGTGACAAGACGTGGAGGCTGCGAGTTCATTGCTGCAGCTCCTGCCCCATGTGCAGGACGGCATCCAGAGCCTGGGCCTGGTCACTGTGTGGGAGGTGGTGAGGTGAGTCCTGGGCTGATCAGAGAGCAGCAGTGCTGCTGCCCAGCGGGCCTCAGTGAGGTGCTGGCAGGAGTCAGTGACATCTGTTAGATGAGTCTGCAGAAACGTAGGCAGAACACGTGGTTTCTGGGCCGTAGTCAGGCCTAGGAGAGCTAAATGGGAGCATTCTGGATGTGATGCTGAACCCAATTTAACTTACATCTTTTATAGGGTCAGAGCATCAGGGCGGCTGTATTCTTAGTGTGTTTGGTGTCCATTGAGAGGGAAGCATTTTTAATTGCCTTTCTTGCAGGCTAAATCAGTGCTGAATCTGTCCATGTTTGGCCTGTGTGTACAAAAGCACCACGTGGCTGGTGAGACCTGTTCTGAGAGCAGTTTCCTCTCAGGTGCTCTGGAATCTTTTCTGCTGATAAAGATGTTAGCACAGTCTCGTGTGTCAGCTCAGTGCCCTGCAAGCTTTCTGAGCAGGCTCTGTGTGCCCCACAGGCTCACAGAGACCCTTGCAGTGTAGCTCTTTTGTGGGAAGGAGGCATTGGCAGCTGCTTTTGCACGCTCTGTGCTTTGGGATAACCTTACTGCACCAAGCATCTCCACGTTAATGTTAGAACTTTTCAAGCAGGCTGTAATGCAAGATGGATGCCATCAAGACCAAATGCATTGCTTTTGCATTAGCAGTTCCTTCTCATTTTGCACTCTCTATTGAATTAGGGCAGGTTCATCTTCAGTGTCTGCTCAGTTTACAACTGCAGGAAAACTCACAGGCACTTGACAAATGCTGTCCTCTTAAATAATGACTTGAGCCCATCCTGCTTGATGAAGGCAGCTGCATTCATGTGTGCACAACTCCAGAAAGGTTGAGAAATGAATGTGTGTTTGCAGCTGTGTGTGAAAACATTGAAGATCTTTTCTGGGAGGTGGGTGCTTGAAATGACACCGCTGACCTCTTGCTTTGCAAGGTCGTGTTGGGATTCTGTGTCCCCTGTACTTGAAAGAAATTTTTTGTAGATGCTTCTTCAGGTTCTGGTTCCTTCTGCTGTTTGATGGTAGTTTGGTTTCTGTTGTTAAACTTAGCTGTGAGTGTAGGATTTTATGAGAATGGGAAAGGAAACAAGACAGAGCTTTAACTTCAAATCTAACTTGATCCATTTCTGAAAGAAACAGAGGAGAGAGACTGGATGCAGCCAGCACCCTTCTCAAGGAACGGTGTTGTGCTCTGCTCTCTACCTCCACCTGTGACAGAGCTCAGCTCTTCAGCCCCATGGCTCACAAGTTTCTCTTTGCAGTGGAGTTTCTGCTGCATCTGTTTCATCCACAGCACTGCCTGACTGAGGGCTGCGAGGTTCCCTTGAGACAAGGGCAGATGCAGATAACAAGCACAGCTTCCTAACCTGTGTTCATCACATCGTGGTAATGATTCCTAGGTAGTCAGCCCCAAATCTTTTTCCCCAGTTCTTCCTATCTGGGCTTTGTTGTGCTTCAAAACCTGGTTGCCTTCTCACCCTTATATTCAGGAAGGCAGAAATGTACATCTCATCCTTGTGTTTTTCAAGAAGTCTTACGTAGATGTTTGGGATGCCTCAAGCCATGTGGGAACTGGGAGATCAAATGTATATTTATGCACTTTGCTGTCATGTGAGGGCAAAGGTATCGGCTGTGAACTCCTGGAAAAGTTTGTTATGAGAAACTCCAAAGGTTTGGGCTCAAAGTTAATGTGGTGTGAATGGACATAAGAGCCGTGAGCAGAGCTAGCAGGAGACCAGCTGCAGGAGATGTGCAGATGGGTGCCCATCTGATAGAGCCTTTCCTGTATCCTTCTCTGTTTCCCGGGTATGCCTTTCGCTGGGTGTTACCTAGCAGAACAGGATTAATCCTTAATCATCCCAGGATTTGTCAGCACAGGATTGGCAATTTGAGTTTTGCAATGACCTGATGAGCAGGTCTCCTGCAGTTGTGCACTTGGTGTTCCTGAAATGCCACCTCTCAGGACAGGAGGGTGTTTATGAAGATTTTAATAAAGGCGTTAACTAAGAAAAGTGTGCTAAGGGACAGCTTCTTTTTTAATGAAGAAAATACTTGACCAAAGTCCCATTTACAAGATATTTCTATGTATTCAAGAGCCTTTTAAAAGCACAATGTGCATTCCTTCTTTCTCATCTTAGGTTTTGCATCTCTGAAGAAGTAAGGAATAGGTAAAGGTAACAAATTGCTTTGTTACTGAAGGTGTAGAGAAGAGAAGAAATATTCTTGCTTGATTTCTGAAGGCACGGAAGGTTCTTTCTGTTGTTGCTGTTATGTGCATGTTATTCCCACTCAGAAGACACGAGCATGTCAGAATAAGTGGCTCTGGCTGGCTGGCTGATGCTGGCCTTGGTGTGTTTTTTGGAAGTAGTATTTCGATTTGTGTGATCACAGCATGTTCTCACTGCAAAAGGCATGATTTTCCCAGTGCTCGTCATGGCACTGCAGTCTTTTCTGTACCTTTCTTTGTCATAAGGAGGATCTCAGAGTACTGAAAGAAAAACAGAAGTACAAGGCTCTGAAAATTACATGTAATACGAAAATTACATGGCAGCAATACTTCATAAAACCCAGTTCTTGTCTGGTGGAGTGCACCTGCACCCTTTGTGGGATCCTGGCTGCATAGCACTCCTTAGGGTCATAAACTCAGGCTTTTTTTGTGTTTGGTTTCTGTTTTACGTGATGAGGATTAGTGATGGATACCACCTGTACCATGTATTTCAATCTGTACCTAAAGCATGATCAGTGTCAACTGAATACTTTTATCTCGCTCTTCGCTTGAACTTACACTGAAGCTATTTGCATTGCACTGTTGCTAACTCCAACTCATCTCCAAAGTCCTTTATCATAAAACAGTTGTTTTTCTTGCCTGGTCGTTACTTTCACGTAAGAAATACACATGGCAAAATGAATGCCCGCTGTGTGAGCCCATGAGTAATGGCCTCTTTGTGAACACAATCGGATCAGGAAATGTGTCCTTTGTTTTCCTGCACCTGTTGCTGTACTACAAATAAAATCATCCAGTGTTTTATTAAATAAAACGAGAAGCCCTAATGAAATTGTACCAGCCATTACCAGGAAGTCTATTGAAAGCATCCAGCAGCTGCTCAGCCTGAGTTTGTTTACACCGATAAGGCTGTTTTGTCCCATTCCTTACGTGTGAAGTGAAGAAGCTACAGTGCAGTCCTAGTGTGCAGCAGAGCCTTGGGGTGTTTCATACCACTCTCTTCAGGTTCCTTTTAAAGTATTTGATCGTAATCTGTGATGTTACGTATTTGTGGATCCATTGTGAAGAACTTAAACTCGAGTACGTGAAAGCAAAGCAATACTGGCCTTCCAGAAGTTGAGCCAAAGCCACGAGCTCCTGCAGCAGAGCTGGCCCAAAAGGCCACGTGCCGAGGCGTCTGCTCCATGAAAGGGAGGATGTTGTGCAAATTAGGGTGGACTGAAAACCTGTATTTAGCCCCAGCTAATGGCGGTGCATAGCAGCATAGGGGGCATAGGTCAGAACGAGGGAAATTTGGGGGGAAGGTTGTAGCCCTGTTATGAAGAGCCGGGCTGTGCAGCATACGGCCAGGTCCACCCCGTGATGGAAGAGCTGGACTGTCCTCATGTGACAGCTCCGTGAAGAGAGCAGGAGGTACTGAGGCTTCTCTTTTCCACCACGGTCCTTTTTCCAGGTGGTACTTTTGTTTCAGTTGGTAAATTGCTTAGGTTGGTGGCTGCTGCACAGAGAGTGACAGAGCAGGGACAGTGAGGGGAAGCAGCTCAGCAACTGCATGAGGGACATCAAGGTCAGGGAAGAGCTGCGTGGAAGGTGGAAAGGATTTACTGCCTACATTGAGCTCCTCAAACTGAGTCTGCCAACAGATCTGAGGTGGATTCTGACAGGGATGTCCAACTTCTGCCAGTAGAACAGCTGCATTTGGAAGATGTTCCTCCATTGCTTCTGATGCCAACTGTGAGGTCCGAATATTGCTTTGCTGTCTGTGTGATCCTACTAGAGAAGACATATTCACATAGCAGCTGGAGGGCAACCCCTCAAGCTCAGACAGCTTTGCTCCACAGTATATAATGTGCTGAGATATGCAGGTGGTTGCAGGAAGGAAAACAAGGGGCTAAGCCAGGCAGCAATATTTTCAACATTTCTACGTGTAATGTTTGCATATTCTGTGCTTAGTTTTAAGCAAGGCAGGTGCTTGTCAGCCTTTCTCCTGTTGTAACCAAAGGAGATAAGTTATGGTTAAAATGTAGTTTAGCAATTGATTGAAGA